AATTCTTGTCCAAAGTTTCAAAATTATATTTTTATCTTAAATATTGAAATTGATTGAACATCGATATTTGAATTTAAAAAATTTCCCCGAATACTCATAACAGTACGGACTGACCCATTTAATAGTCCTGAAGGACACCAATAAATTAAAAGATAAAATTCATAAACAATATCAACTGTCTCGATACATAAACTATATATTGCTAAAAGACCAAAATTAAAGGTTCTTTAATCATTTTCAGCATTTATATGAACATTCAAGGTAGCTTCAAATATTTGGAATTAAAATTCTTTGCTCAAAATTTTCTATCAAGAGTTTGAGCGAATAATTAAGAAAAAAGCCTTGATAAATGAATATTAAGATAAATTTGGTTAATAAGGCAGTTTATTTAAAATAATGCTTTCAGAAAACTAAAGGTTAATGATTTAGTTAATTGAATGATATAATACAAGAGGAAGTTATCCGTTTCAAAAATTCCGAAATCATCATTTAAAACGGTGTAGAAAACAAATAATTATGCGATTTGTTAAAGTGTAAATATTTGATTCCGAAATATCAAAGATTCTAAACGTTTTGTAATATATGGTAAAACTTCACCCAGAAAGCGAGCTTCTAATAAATTCATTCATTGATTTATAACAAATTTAACCTCTATCTCGGAAATCCCAACGGGAACTCCAGCCTTTAAGAATAAAGTACAAATTGTACAATCAAAACATTAAGTAAAATGAAAAAAAATATTAAAAAAAGACATGAGAAATATTATCAAACCTCTTCATCATAATCTGCCCAATCTCCTTTCGACGTTAAATCAATGTCATCAAAAATCGTTTTGCTTTCAGCACCGTTAGCTTTAAAACCAGTCTAATAAAATAAAATGTAAATATGTATTGTAAGTAGTAACGATAAACATACGACTGCCTAAATATAATTACCCTCGGATCAAAATCCACAAATTCTAATCCTCTGCAATCAATAACTGCCATCTTAGAGAATCGTCCGCTGTCATCAATGGTATATGGTTTAATGGGTGTATTATCAAATTCTATAATATACAAATATGTATATATTAGTTTCCATAGAGTTCCAATCCATTAACCGTTTATCCATATATCCGTAATCCGTTTTCCAAGTATCCGATCTGGATATCCGTGAATAATTTATTCGAATATTTGTCGGATTATCTGGATATCAATAGTAAACGGATATCCGGATATGGATAAATGGATAACGGATTTATCCGGATTGGAACTCTTAAGTTTCTGTCTTCATCACGATGTAGAGATGTAGAATATGTGAACGCAACTCACGTGCATAACCTTCGCGTTTACAAAATTTACAACGCATTACAAAATTTGCACTTCCTCGTGAACCACTTATAGCATTACTGGACTTTATAAATGTATAAATTCAGATTAAGGATCGCATGTAAATGATTTTAATAACGTTATAATGAAACACTTACAAGTCGATTTACTCCAACCCAATTCTCATTTCTTTCTTTAATAATATGGTGGTATGTTTTTAAAGAAAATATAACTTTTAACACTTATTCCAACTTACACTTTTCTAAACAGGTTTATATATTACGCGAAATTCACTTTATCTTGTAGAAACTTGCACTTCAGTTTAAGGCTGAACTTGAAAATGTTACGGACGTTGGACCGAGCAGCGAAGAATATGAATGGCACTTTAAGGTTCTATTATATATCCGAGGCAATATTTCAAAGAATAGTATAATTTAAAATTATCGACCATACATTTTATGTATAGGTAAAA